GAAACGAGTTGACGAGTGCACTCTAGTATTGTAAACCCATTCTCCACAAGCAATAGCATTTAGCCAGTTACAAATAATGCACCAGCATGCGGTTAGTTCGTTCAGTCCGAGCGTCTGTCTCCAGATAGTTGGCGGTGAGCATGCTGCGGTCAATGCTGAGCCGTTGCATGAGGCTGCACCAGAGGGAGGGAAGTTTGGATCCCTGTCGGTAACGATGATTCTTGCGAAGCGGTGGAGCTTCCACACATGGTTAATGAAAAACTGAGCCACACCTTCTGCTGTGACCGTGCCCGAGGAGGGAATAGAATGAGCGTATTTGTTAAGCCGATTCAGAACGGCATAGATACTATAATGGGCTCGGACCGATGGTAAGCCTGCTCTGAAATCCGTTGGGATGCCCGTCCACATCCTTTCGGCGATCGGAATGCTCTGCAGGAGTCCCAGTTACAGGGTGTTCCGCGGCTTTTGCTGTTCGCAGTCCGGACAAGACAGGACATATTGCTTAACTGAGGGGCGCATCCCTGGCCACCCATAGGACCTGGCAACACGCTCCACCGTAGTATTGACCCCACTATGACCCACATAAGCATGACCATGCATTTTGCCCAAGGCGTCAGCGCGAAGCGAAGCTGGAACGTACAATCAGCAAACTCCCCGCTTTGTTTGGCACCCCAGAAGGTAGCCATCGATGCTGTAGTGCTTGACCCGTCACCCATTGCTGACGTTAGGAAAGACCGCAGCCGAAAGAGTATCTACGGAATAAGAAGAACGCAATTCGGAGATAAAAAAACCATCACAGACAAGTGCAATCGCGGACCTTTGTGCCTGACGTGTACGGCATCTAGTGAGTGCCTCAGCGACCAAGTTGGTGACAGCCTTGATATGCTTGACAGTGGAGTCGTACTGCGTGAGACGGGAGAAACACCGAACAACTTCTTCGTGATCGTAGTCTTGGAAAGTCTTCCTCAGGTGTGTCAGGGATTGATGATCGTTTTGGACTATAGAGGTAATGTTGACACTCTTTTACACTCCAGCAGTTCGTGTAGTGCTCATTCTCCCGTCCCGGATACTTTTGCTCCCCCTCTATGAAACGATGTGAGTAGCAGGCAATTATTTCATGTTTGTTCGAGCCGTTAGCCTGTTGTGAGAGCATAATCCAAACTGCCGTCTCACTGGCATCGGTCGTGAGGAAAAAGGGTTTATCAGAATCAGGGAGAGAGAGCACTAGGGATGGCGTCAGTGGTCCGCTGAGTCGTCTGCCGGCTTCACATAGACAGCAATGCGAACGAATCCAGAAATGATATTGCGGTAGTATGAGACGATGCCCACCAACTTCTGAACATCTGCTCCCTTATACAGCGGCAGCAACCACCTCTGAATCGCCTCAATCTTAGCCGGATCTGGTTCAACCCCTTCTACAGAGACGCGAAGCCCTAAAAAGCTGTTGGTTCGCATGAAACACGAACACTTCTAAGTTTTCACGAACCATTGGTTTTCGCGTAGTAGTTGCAGCGCCCGCCGGAGGTACAGCAAGTGCTCCTGCAGATTTCAGCTAAACACAAACACATCAACCACATATTACCATCCACACATCAGTGATTGGCCCGAAGAAGTCGTGATCGACCCGCCACAGCAGTTCGGCAGCTGCATTCACGAGTCCAAAGGGCATACAGGTGCACTCCAGCTTGCGGGTGGGGATGTGGAACGCCGTCTGCTGCCAGTCCTCCGGATGAACTGGGATCTGTAANACTCCAGCTTGCGGGTGGGGATGTGGAACGCCGTCTGCTGCCAGTCCTCCGGATGAACTGGGATCTGTAACCATGCCTCAGCAAAATCAAATGCTGAGTATAGCGCTGAACCCTGTAACCGGTCAACGATTTCGTCGTTCCTGGGCATCTGAAACGTCTGTTTCACTATGACGTTGTTGATGCGCTTGAAGTCGACGCAGATGAGGCACCTGCCGTCCTTCGTCCTCGCCAACATCGGATTGTGCCCAGAGGCGATAGTTGACGGCTGAACCTTGTCCTTTCTTAGGATTTTTTCTCCGTGCCGCTCAACTTCCTCTTCAAGATGTGAGGGTCGCTGGTACTTTGGAACGAAGAATGGGGGTGCGCCGCGAAGGAGTCCGATGCGGTGCATTGAGGGTCCAGCGATTGGCCTGCCCGCCGATAGCTGTTTCTTATTGAGTACATATGAGAACTCTTCCTTCAACTTTGCCGACTTCTGCCGTTCCTCGTGTGTTAACTAGATCGAATCCCCCAAGAGTGCGGTTCTTACCATACCGTCACGACGGAGTGCCTGCATATATCCGTCGTGTCCTTCAGTGCCTCTGCACGGCTTGGGAGCCTCCTCTTTCCTCTTCACTTCGGANGCATATATCCGTCGTGTCCTTCAGTGCCTCTGCACGGCTTGGGAGCCTCCTCTTTCCTCTTCACTTCGGAGACGGTTTCCACGCCTCTGACCGTAGAAGATGCAAATGCCGTTGGTACCGCTGAGAGGGGCATACACTCATCATGGCCTGGCGGAAAGACCTCTATGGCGTCATCAGGGGAACGCATTTGTACCTTGCACTGGGTCAACTACGGCACGTCTGGGATTATGTCGTGGTGAACTGCTCCAACGCAGAAGTGCCTCTTCATGTTAATGTGCCCAGTTTTGGAACTAAGAGAGCATTGTACGCCCACAGTTTTGCCGGTTCTTGGCTGGGCAGCTCCCAGCAACAGGAGGCCCAGACGTACGCACAGCCCAGCTCAGCAAAGCAGCACTCTTTCCCTGTGTATAGTCGGATATCGCACATTTTGGTCAGCAGAAGAATTAACCCGAAATGAAACAAAATGTATCATGGAATTGAAGCGAGGGAAGAACCACTGCTGCTGTTTGCCCAAGACCAGATGCAGCGGAGCACAAGGCAACAAGCAACGCAGTCTACTGCTGCACGAGCCCACCCACCTCGTCCCCCTGTTGCTCCCTTGTCGCAGACGTCAATAGTGCCAACTTTGTCGGTGCTTGCATCGTTGCTATTGGGCCGCTGTAGCTGGTGCATGGCGAATTTCATCAGCTTAGTTGACAATCGGCAAAATTACAGCAGACTCACAGAGTAAAGTAGAGCATTCTCAAACGAGCAGGTCTCCTTCCTTCACAAGCGGTCGTGGGGAAAGTGGCCCAACTACACTAGTTGCAACGCACCGTGCTGCAATTACTGCTTCAAGGCAATTCCATGAGCAAGCACAACCAAGTTTCGTTTTCTGCATGCATTAAGATTTGCATGCATTAATATTTTAGAAAACTATTGAACGCTTACTTGTTCCTCCGCACCCGACNTGCATTAAGATTTGCATGCATTAATATTTTAGAAAACTATTGAACGCTTACTTGTTCCTCCGCACCCGACCTGAGTGCGAGATACACGTGTCATCTTCCCAGGGACCATGCTATACGGAGGCACTCTTCATGAATTGTTTTAGGGGGAAAAGGCACTTTTGGATTGATGGGCTGCGGCTACTGCGCTCGGTCATCCCAATTCGACAGAGTGGAGCTCTCGCTCCATATTCACCTGTTGAACAGGGAAACAGCGACATCCCTGACGCGGACTGTATATAGCCTGTGTTCGATAAAATCCCACTACTACTCAGTGCTACGCACCAGGCTGTCCAGCTTCGGGGGTAGGTTTCCCAGCGGACGGCTGAGATTAATCATGTGGTAATACAAAGTGTAACTAGCAGGCTGCTCCGAGGATTCGGCGAGCTGTAATAAAGCAAATAATCACGCGGACCGCCCCATCAGTGCCAAAGTTTACTGGGCACATCGGGAGGCGCAAACAGGCGACTGCTTCGAAGTTGCAGCATGAAGTTACAGCATACCTCCCTCCTGCTCCTGTTGTAAGGCGACCCCACATGCACGCCTACCCAATCCACCTTCTGCTTGTATAAACACCATCAGCAACTGTTAAACACTGACTCTCCAGGAGCGAACCTACTTGCAAGCACATGTGCATGTACCAACCCATACAGATCATGTCAAACAAGCTGCAGCGAACAGCAAACTCTGACGTTACTACTGTTATGTCATATGCCTACCTCCGAGGCGCACACCCCACATCCAGAGAACAGTCTCTTATCCGTATCAGAGTCACATCCTCCTAGAAGAAGAAGAACAGTGAATTTTCTCTCATTCACCCGACCCCGTAGGGGTCACTGGCTCGGGGGCAGTGTCAGCCTCTCAGCCAGCCCCATACACAGTGAGCCTGCCGAGCGCCCTTAGCCCGCAGGGCCCATTTCCTCTATAAATTAACTTAGTTTATCCCTAATAAGACGTTTTTTACATTATTTCTGTAAAGTAGACCTCAAAAGGTCTCATTTGGGGTCNGTTTATCCCTAATAAGACGTTTTTTACATTATTTCTGTAAAGTAGACCTCAAAAGGTCTCATTTGGGGTCAATTGTAGTGTTTCTGCACTACACAAGCGCTCCCAGGATCCATAACACCGGACACCCAGTTCTCACCCAGCTGCTGAGGGTTTGGAACGGGGGAGGAACGCGAAAACAAAAGCGTGATGATATGTAAGAAGGCAAGCAAACTGTTGTATGCATGCAGGTATAGACAACAAACAACACAGCCCCCTCCAGCCCGGCGCACTTGGCGCCCTGAAAGCCCCAGAACTCGAAAGCATGCACTGTAGCACTGAAGTCCTAAACACTAGACCCTAAACCTTAAACGCTCGACCGTCGACTCTAAACCCTCGTTGGGTTTGTCCGGTTGTTTGCGGCTCGATTTGGATTGTTTTGATGGCGTTTATGGATGTAGTTCGGCAAAATGGATGAAATGAGAGGTGAGCCGAAGAGAGGTCCTCTGGGTGTCACTGCAGTAGCAGCAGCTGCAGTGACACCCAAGCAGTTATTTGTATTTTTCCCTTTTGCTTGCCGCGGTTTCGCCTTCTGTCACTGCGAGGTCACCGAGCGGACCTAGTTGGGCTCTGATGTCTATCTCCTCGCGTCAAGGGCATCTGACAGTTATGGTTGGAGGTGTCGAGGCACCGCTGGATGTTTAGGCCTGACTGGAGGCCGCAGCACTCCATTCCATCTGCACTAATCACATGTTAAGGCTTAATTGGCGCCTGTAGTGACAGCTGCCGGGGCAGATGCTGAGCGCTGCCTGCGGCTGTAATCTGGGGTTGGCTTGCTCTTGCCGTGGTTCCGCTGGGGTTTAGCGTTTAGGTTTTTGATATTGGGGTGGACGGTTTTTGTGCAGCTACGCTTGACTCCCTCATGGGGAGAGACCGNTTTAGGTTTTTGATATTGGGGTGGACGGTTTTTGTGCAGCTACGCTTGACTCCCTCATGGGGAGAGACCGCAACGAGTACGGGGCGAACGCGAAGAAGGGCGCATCCTTCAAGGCGGAATCCGTGAGCGAATGCTCGGGTTTAGGATTTGGGATGATCGGTTGCGATCTTAGCTTTTCGTTCAGCAGCATATGCAACAGTAGTGCTGCAGTGTGAGGGTTTGGGGTTTTGTTCATTTCTTCAGGTCTGCAAATTCTTTTTGCTGGACTTCTGTCCGCATGATCTCTTCCCAAACACTCGCATTGATCTCGGCCCGTAAGCGTTTACGGCATTGGGATTTTTAAGCAGCAGCGACGTCGGATTCTCTGAAGCCAAACCATGCGCCTGCAGGGTTCAGGATTTAGGCTTCAGGGTTTTGGGGTTGGGGTTTGTGCTGCAGATGCGACAGGGAGCACAGGGCCGACCTGAAAGTTGCCTTCGAGGCAGATCCTGAAAAGGAGTTCTATCAAGCNGCGACAGGGAGCACAGGGCCGACCTGAAAGTTGCCTTCGAGGCAGATCCTGAAAAGGAGTTCTATCAAGCGCTGTTCGAAACGGAGTTTGCACGTAGGGTCGCGTACTTAGGCTGCAGGGCTTGGCGTTGGCCTCGGGAGGGTTGGGGATCTATTGTTTGTTCATGGGGGGTTCGCGGGTTCAAGAATGGCTGTCCGGGACACTCAGGGTGTAGGGTTTACGGCTTATGATTTGCACTCAGGCTACTTGCAGCGCTTGGTAGATCAAATGGAAAATAGAATTAAAAGAGTACAGCAGCGTATTGATGCAAACAACCAGCCAGTCGAACTGAGCAAGGAAAACGAAGAGAGGTAAGGCCTTAACCTTAACTTAAGTCGTGGTGTTTTTATACCCAGCCAATGCAGCGTACCTTTAAGCGCAAATGTTAGACCCTAAACCCAAGTCCCATGCTTACGTTTGATCCCACTTGTCTAAAGGGATTTGCACTCATGGGGACCCTAGGGTTTATCGCTTAGGGCTAACGATTTGGGTTGGATGTGGTAGGGTGAATGCGATGAACGCCGAGATATCTGAACTTTTAAAGCAGCAAGATGAAGCCGGATCAAAGGTGGGCCACTTGTTTGGATTTAAGGTTAAGGATTTAGGGTTTGGAGATGATTGTTAGGGATGGTGCAGCGGCGGTTCGCTCCGGTTCCTGGGCTCAGGGTTTGGAGTTCAGCGTTCAGGATTTAGTGCTGTTGCGTTCAGGGAGACATCGATGCTGCAGAGAAGCTGAACGAGAAAGTAGCGTTTCTTCAGCGGGAGGTCTCCAGGTTAGTGTGCTAAAGTCTAAACCCTAAACCCCCGATGTGGCCGGCTGGCTCGTTCTGGATTTCACGCGAATTAGGGTTTATGGTGGAAGGGTTCTTTTTGCTGCAGGCTGAAGAACCCAAATGCGGATATCGCAACTATACGGGAGTCCCAGCTGCGGGTATGTCAGTGCACGGGGATCCCAAGTCGAGGGTTTGAATGATTTGGGTTTCGTATTTAGGTTTGGGAGCTTGGGGTTCATCGGCCTTTGGCTGGAAGCGAGCATGAGACGCCTAGTAGGGTGTATTGATTGTTCAGTAGGTTTAGGTTTTGTGGTGTACGTGCAGGTATGCGCGACCTGCGGGGCGATGCAATCAACGGGGGACGCGATGTGCCGCTTCGAGTCGCATGTCTCTGGGAAGCAGCACCGCGGGTGCGAGAAAATTCGTTCGACGTTGGCAGCTTTGAAGGAGACAGAAGCTGAGCGGGAGGCGATCCTCAAGAGGTACAAGGAGAAGCAGACGGAAGTTGCGGCAGCAGACAAACTCAGCAGACGCAGGGAAGCGGGACAACGAGACAAAGAACTCGAAAAAGACAGAGAGAGAGATGCAGATGAAAGAGGTGTCCATAGATACCGCCAGCCCAGAGACACCTCCTACGGAGGGGGGGGAGCCTCACACGACCGAGCTAGAGACAGGGACAGAGACAGGAGAGACAGAGACAGGAGAGATAGAGACTACAGAGACAGAGACAGATACTACAGAGACAGGGATTACAGAGACAGAGACAGAGACAGGGACAGATATAGGAGTGGAGACAGGGACAGAGACAGGGACAGGTCCAGATATAGCTCAAGTTACAGATCTGGAGATCGATCCCGGGATCGATCCCGGGATCGATCCCGGGACGTCCGACGCTCCAGGGATCGGGATCGATCCCGGTCGCGGGATCGCTCTAGGGATCGGGATCGATCCCGGGAGGCGCGGCACCGGAGCAACGGATCCCGTCACAACGAGGCTCACAAGGACACTGGAGCGGCAGCGAGCGAAAGCAGGGGAGACCCCAGAAATGCCCTTCAGTCTTTCGTCCATGCAGCAGCAAATCCTGGCAGCAGTAGCAGGATGCCGCACCACGACTAGCCTTTCGGGGGTTTATAGGGTTCCTTTTTGGTTTGTAGCGGAAAGACGCAAACTTAACTTAAGCAATCTTTATATATGGCGCACCTTGGCTGCTTTTTCTCCTTGGCTATATTCGCGATTGTCGCCCTAACCTGCTGCTGCCTGTCTGCTCAATCCGTGCCTGCATTTTTCGCTGTCTCTGCCTTCTCTATGCGTATCTTTCTGTCCTATCTGGTCGCTTGCCTCTCCCAGCTGTTTTTTTGTTTCTCGATATGCGTCGGGCTCAGCTGGTCTTGCTTTTGCTCGTTCTTTCCTGCTGTTTGCAACAATGCCGTCCGCTTAGACACAGGCATACAAAAGGGGTAGCAGACAACCTTCCTTGGGTTTCTTCTTCTGACTTGTTGTTTCTCTTTGGAGCTCTGCAGGACTTTTTCGTTTCCTTTCGTCCGCCTCCTTGCGTCAGGTGCTCCGCACCCCCATCTCTTCTGTAGTTTTTCACTGTGTACTGA